GAGGGGATTGTTTCAATACGCGGTATGCTGATAAAGTGATACGATTTGTAGATTACACACGAGACTAATGACAGCGCCTCCCTAAATGCATTGTGCTGTTTTGTATTTTACAGGCAAATGACTAATTAGCTGGTGCAAATCGAATTGCTTGACTCTAATCTATTTAAGTGGTTTACGTTTACACCGCTTTAGTGAGAGAGAGAATCGACAGCTGTTTATCCGTTTAACCAATTTTTTTCGTTTAGATGCAATCCACGGTCCCTCGGAACTGGTGTACGGTCAAGATAAACGGTAAATGAGCCATGTAGGACTTCAGTAGGATAGGTGTGGTGTGTGGACCTGAACGGATATGACGGTGTCCCCAATCAAATTGGAGTGTCTGTAAAAGGAAACAAACGTCAGAAAAATCACACCAGTCGATCCTGACTTAAACTTCTTGTTCACCTCGAGGAATGGATGATTACAGACGTAAGGCTATTGATGCGTTCGGGAACCCCAGATTTGAAATCATTTGACTAATTTGTCAACTGTCACATTTCTCAGAATTGTTTCCGTATTATATAACTATTGATTCTCTCAACAGAGACTGTAATGCCAAATTTCGTACAAAGGACCTTTGAAAAAAAACATACTTAAAATGACTTGATTGCGACGTGGTCTGCAAAGGTACTCTTGTTACTGATATCAATTGTTACCATTGTGTTCTACTCAGAGTGGTATCCCTGAACCAAAGTTAGATCGCCAAATGTTTAATAACAACTACTGATTCCAGACCAAGTCCATCTGTGTCCAGCTTACTGAGATAGGTGACCAGCGCCAAATCCGAGGAACATGCCAAGACGGCGATGAATACTTTCACTGATGCGCGATTAAAACCGCCCGTTTTCCCAGCTGACTATCGCTTCTTCCATATATTTTCTTTCATTTTTTTCATTTAGCTTTCTTTTTATTGAATGTGCAAAGATCCAATTTTCAGGAAGAAGGAAGCGGCCAATCAGTGGTGGCTGCCAATCAACACACACGATGGGGAAAGTTAGGCGGTGGTGGTGGGATTCAAACACACGTCCTCCCGGGGTGATAATTATGTGATGTTGCTACCGGATCACCACCCTCACACGGCTAGCGATAGAACCGAGGAAAACCCAGCATGTATTTAAACAAGCAAGTAGAAACATTGCACAGAAGATAGAAGAAGGACTAATGAGCTCATTCCAATACTCCGTCAGTCATTGCTTGTGGATTAACGAGAGTGTAACAAACAAACAAATTAGACCGAAAAATAAAAATTTGCGCCTGCAGTTGTAGTTCTCCAGGAAATCTAGTGCTAAGGAGGACACGTGGTATGGCTATACGCTGACGTGTCCAATCCATTTATGATTTCTGCCTTTGGAATACCATGAATTTTGGCGAATGCACTGGGCACACTGAATTAACACCACCCTACAATCCCCATTGTTTTATGACGTACTTGAAGGGAATGAATCTTTTTAGAGTCAGGGTAGGACCCTCAGTGTGAAGATATTTATGATACCAAAATGCACATCTCCGGAGTTTCAGCTCAATACGCGTTCCAAATGTGCATTTGTGGCTCTGATTGTCGCACTACTGATGTGAAATATCCATCAAAAGGGAGTTTATTCAAAGCTACCGCCTCAAATTTGTTTCAGAAAACATGGGTTCACTCGTGTGATTTTGTTGGGCTGTGGTTGTCTTTGGATGAGCAGCTCAAGATGAATATCTCAACAATCCGTTCTCATGCGGTCAATGGACCATATTATTTCCAGTGAAACCCAGGTACTCCTTTGAATGCACCGGAAGCGTTGTTGGTCGGAAGATGATCATTGCCGAACTCGATTTTGATGGCCAATCCAGTCGGGGCTAGGCACAGCTAATCACAGAGCTTTGAACCCAGCTCTCCTTAATTGCACTCTCTCGAACTTGATGATCGTTATTAAGCTCATCACACGGTGAGTACTATTGCGTAATTCACGCGATTGAAATGCATTTTCCTGTATATACATACACAAACATAAAGGGTTCGTTCGACTCCATAGTTGTCGTTGTTGTGATGCTTGCGAGTTTACTGTACAATTTCATCGGTGCTCTAACAACGGTATGCGGTAGTATCTTACCTGTCATTTTCCCTAATAATAAACGTCACTCGAAATTTTCACCGAGATTTGACGTGCTTCTTACGGAGATTTCGGAGTCCTTGCCCCTCACCCCCGCCCCCTCCACCTGCACCACTTTGAGTGCTTCATATGGCACGGCCATGCTGGACATTTGGAAGAAAACCGTTCAAATAGTGCTGCTGTCATCCTATGCTGTTGGAAATCTTACAGATGCGATGCAGATGGCGGCAGAGGTCGAGAGGAAACGATTGAAGGCAACTACTCGGCACATCAACCAATTGAAAACGGATCAGTCTAATTTGGGCGTATCAAGCTAGAATACATAAAGCATATCAGATGGTCATATTTTTACCAACCAATCTACGTAGCTTGATATCAAATCGCATTCCGATTAGGACAGATTTCACGTCCACTGCGGTGGAGCTGCAAGTCGCCGCCGGGCTGGAGTATACACTCGAGAATCCCAGGAATGTGGCCAGCCACATCAGACCCATCATGTGGCGATTGATTAGGGATTTACTTATCCCCTAACACAGTGTCTTAAAATTGCTTCTATGAAATAAAAAACAAAATTTTCAGATATATGATGAATATTGCTCCCAAAAAGGAGGGTGCACGAAAGTCATTGGACAAAGGGGATACGCTTTTGAACTGCTCACTTGAAACACACCACATTCGTTTGAAAACCTCATTTCTCACTTGCATTTAATGAACAGGTGATGCCAGTTAAAAAAGGAACGCATCTAGTCAC